GACAACGGCTCCCTTCCCTATTCGCCGTCGTCTCGTAGTGTCGTGTCTCAACGCCTACGACTCCCGAAGCGGGTTTGAGTTGACGATGGATTGAGATCGCCCCTCACTCCAATTTTCTGACTGGGTGCACGCTTATGCCTTTCCACCCTCTCACCGCAACACGCTGACCACGCGGCCACTGCTTGACGGATCACCATGGCCACGGCCATTCCTCCGGAACACCACAGAGTAGCTGCCCAAGCGGCAGCACTCTCCCTCCCGAGCCTCACCTCACTGACGATCAAGAAATGCTGGTTGCCCACGATCATTCACCCGTCAACATGTTGGTCAGGTGCCTAGGCGCTCACACTGGCATTTGTGGATGATTCTTCGAGGGTACATACTCATTGACAGGATGCGAATGAAAAGGTCGATCGCTGGTAACACACCAGCAACATCACATCTTTTCCATCACGCTGCCGTCTTCACCAAGAGCCATGCCCCTTCAGACAGACACAGACTCCACACCTCCTGTCAGATGACCCTTGCTTCTGCCGAATCGTTGTTCAGCCTACCATGGCGGTTGAATTCTCGCGCAGCTTAAAGTCAGGCCAGCGTCCAATGGATCTCGAAACCGGTTTTCTTGGTTACTTTGGAGTGCCTTTGCTTCAAGATCAGCAGCACCCGCCCGAGACTGTGATCGACACTTGAAGGGGACATTATTAGGAGCCTATCGTCTTTGGTCTTGGACAATAAAACCTTGAAGAGGAGCGAAAATGAACTGGTCCACCTCCTCGACCGGACCACCGAGATCGCGAAGAGTAGCTGCTCCGCCTGCCGAGTCATCCCGCCGAGCGTCGCCGTGCCACCACTCACATCTCCTGCTCATTTCCTTGCCCATTACCCCGGCGCCCCGGGATAACCACATGTTACGTCGATCTTCGAGAAGCACAGCGCCCACCTCTTCCAATGGTTAAGTGGACGGGAGAAGAAAAAGAATTGTCGGACGATCATGGACAATGATTTTCCCGGCTTGCTGTCCAATCCGGGTCCGGGGCCATATGTCAGAGTGACTATTTGTGAGGTTCACCGACTGCAGGTTAGCCTCCAGAGTGTCTCCCGAGATGCAGCTGTTGGAGTGTACTAAATGATCTCTGTCTTGCGAAACATCTATGGGGTCTTCCATTGGATTGAGAATTCACCAGCAGCACTAACCACAGCGTCACTCTAGCGGTGGAACGCGCCCGTACAGCATGTCAGCGATGACGTCCCTTGCTTTCTTTTCTGCCCTTCACCAGTGTGCGATCGTTGGATGGAAGGACCCTTTCTTCCGCTAGGGCTCGACAAAGCCTCAAGTTGCCTTGTCGTCCCTTGTCTCGCGACTTCTACTTTCTCATACTTTTCACATCAAGCTCCAGCGAGTGCTGTCCTGTGGCTTGTCCTATCCTCTTTCAGAAAGACAGCCAATCACTCCATCCGCAAGCGAGACAGAGCATCGCAGCCAAGCCGATATGAAATCCACACTCGGTCCCGTGATGCCGTTTACCAAGGCCAAGCAAGCACAGTGGTGAGGGATTGAACTCCCGAGACCTCTCTTCTAGCCTCTTGAAATGACTTACTCGTGCCCTCTACGGCGCCCCCGCATGCTTCGTCAGCTTCCTGCCTGTTGACCGCACCTGAACCTGCGAAAGGGCTTGCCTAGCAGGGGAAAATTGTCGCTATTAACATCACTGGCAGTCAGCTGATACGACTATGCAGCTGCCCAGCACCTTTATCCTGCAGCGAACT